TTCTCTACTATTTAATGGATGTTATTATACACATAAACCTTCCTCTTCAATTACTCTATCTATTAAAAAAAACCACATCAAAATCCGTTGCGTAGTTTTAAAGATTTAAGCATACATAGGGATATAGGGACAGAGAAAGCGACTTTGTTTTATACTATGTAGTGATTGCGTTAAATGCTTATACAAACATAAAAAGTAGATACGTAGCGTTCGTATGTGTGAACGTGTGTGTGTGTAGCGCTACATTCCAGTATACATCGCGAAAGACTTGAATTCAAGTAGAAAAGCTAAGTGCCGAACGTCAACGCCCGACCAGAGCCTCGCGTCTGTCAAAGACTGTTGAAGTGTCATCGGCGAGAGAAATCCGCTGCCTCCGGAAGGCACTTACACACGGAGCTGTTCTCGAATGTTCGATGCTAATGTTCTCTTATGTTATTTTGAGTTTCATTTCGCTTTTAAAAATACATTTTTCTCCACGATAAGTATTTGATGGGATTGCCTCTCAAAAAGAAGGTTTAACGGAACCGCTTACGATATAGAAAATAATTAATAGTGTAGGTACGAGCACCAACAACATTATGATGTCAGTAATCAACTGATTACTAAAAATTTGTGAAATCTATATAATAATACGTGAAGCAAAAACTTTGTATCCCTTTTTACGAAAATCGCGCGGACGGAGGAGTATGAAATTTACCACACTTATATAGAATATAGAGAAGGAGTGCACAATGCTAATATTTTTTTTAAATAATGCTTAAAAAAAACCTTAAACCAATAAAGAAAACATTACACACACTAACATGTATTTGACACACACACACACACGCATTTATACTATTTTGTTTATTGTTAAGGTCTGTGGTCAAGTTGAGACTAGATTAATATTGATTTCTTTAATATTATTTGTCTATAGTGTAGCCTTAGCGAAATTTGTGATTATAGAGGTATAATATAGTCTTTGACAATAGAACCATAATAATGTTCAAACTTATAATTTAAATAATAATTATAGTCGAATTTCGGCGACCAGTACTTAATTTTAAAAGTAGTACTTAAGTAACATACAAAATGGCATGATTTTTTTGCTTGACTTAATAAATGAATTATGTTTTCCGCTTAGAGTAGTAAATTATATCCATATTAGTTTTGAGAAATCTAACAGGTATTCAAACATGATACGTAACAATTTATAAGTTTGTGTAATTTTATATATTATACGCGATTTTAAAAAGTGATTAGATAATAGTTTTGTAAAAACATCGAAAAAAAAACGTGACTATACCACTAAACGTGATGAAGTACAACAATTTGTTTACAGTAATTGTTAAATTATAACAGACACGAATAGAGTAAAAGAAAAACAGCTTTGTAGTACAGTTTTAGAATGACAAGCAACAAGCAATAATTCAATCGGCGAGCAAATAATAGATGAGGTTGGCTCTAGGCTCAAAAGTGTATCAACCAACGCATTAAACAATAATAGACCGAATTAATACGTGATGCATGGTATAAATTACTTTGGATTAAATCGATCATATTCTCTTTTCTTGCATTAAAACAATAAATTAGTGGCTAGTTTTGTTTAATAATAGGTAGGAGTTCCACTGCAAATTAGTTCTAATAGATTAAATACACTTTTCCTGATCATTATTACACGCTTTGCATTTAAAACAACCGTAGCACAAATTTAGCAAATGGAATATCTCATGATATTTTGATCAGTTAAAAAACAATTAAGCTACCATTGACACCGTAGCATAATACTATTAACTACCAAAATATGCTTCTCTAGTGAAGATTAAAAACAAAATACCCAGAAATCAATGCGTACGAAGGCGACGACAGGGAAGGATAGGTCGACTAGGGTCAAGTGATACAATGCTTAGTAGTGCACATCTCTAGTGATAATCGGCTCAACGACATCCCCATAATAAAACTTGAAAGTAACTCAGAAGGGTTTGTTGATATTAATAGTTGCCTAGTTATTAATATTGTGTATATCTCTGTGACATAATAACATCAAAGAAATCAAAACATTCCAAAAGTCGAAACGAATAAAGGAGAAAATAATAACATAGTGTTTGGAAAAACTGGCTAGTGGCCACTGACAGTCGCCAGCTAGTAGCTTAACAAACATACATAATCTTCCATACATTTAGCTTGGGTTTAAGTATAATTATATAATGGTGAATTTACATATTATTTTGCTGACGAGTCGTACCATAATCCTGCGCTCCGGTCTGAAAGGTATGACAACCGTTGATCAATACGAATACAATTGAGATATTGACTTCATGTTTCAGTGGGCGGCGTTATTGACGTTCTGATTTCTATGATCTCTGCTAAAACCTCGCCTACCTAGCGCAAGAAAAAATAAAATCCAATCTAATTCAATTTCAAATTGACTTAGCTTTTGAAAACAAAACTTACTGAATTTTATTTTGTAACAGACTACTCCAAGATGCTCCTGATAATAAAAAGCGTTTTAATATCGAAGTACAAAATGTGTTTTTGACACATTTGGAAGAGCTTGATTAGGGATTTTCTATATGGAATGAACTTCATAAAATTGGGTTTTTAAGGTGTTAGACCAGTTCAATTCTCTGGAATTTTACCACTGTTTTACGTAGCAATTCCAATATTAGTACTGTTTGGATGTTATGATAAGAATTTAAATGAAACTGAAGATGGACCTATCGAACATTTTCTTTAATTAAATTTAAACACCACAATTCTCTCGTGAACAAACTACGTGCCTATTTGAAAACAATAATGGTCCAATTCAGCAATCTCCGACAGCAATTAAGACTGTGTCGTTCGGTACGTTGCTAAAACGAATAGGGCTCTTCAATCAACGAATCAATCAACAATCGCGCACAGTCGCCACTTGCCGACGACAGTTCAACAGATTTATCGCAACGGATCGACGGTAATTTTCCAATTTTCAAATCCTGAGCCTGTTGATCGCGAAGTAGTAGTAGAAATGTGACTCTGTATAATGTTATACTAGATGATGACCATCTTGTTGTGTCTTTAGTTGCCCTCAGTTAAGAAAAATAGTATTATTATTCGCCAATAGATGTCGGGAAGAGTTGATTATTGAAAACACGAATAAAACAACATTTTCTGAAAATAAATCTTAGCTAGATCGATTTATCGCCCCCGAAATCCCCTGTATACTAAATTTTATGAAAATCGTTGGAGCCGTTTCCGAGATTCAGATTATATACATATATATTAATATACAAGAATTGCTCGTTTAAAGGTATCAGATTTTCGGCTCGTTTCTTTTACCTACCTATTGCAAGTAGCCTCGGGCTATGCTAGCTTCGCCGAATGTATATGCGAGCTCACGGGGTGCAGCCTAAGAGACTTTGCTAACTTCTACCCTAGCAAGAGCAGTACTTCGCTGTATCTAGTACCGGATCGGAATAGCGACCCACTGAGAAGATACGGCGAGAAACTCAGTGGGCTGTGTCTTAAGTGGGTTAAGATCCACGACGAACCTATCGACGTGTTCGACGAGAACGGTGACCGGTGCTTCGAATGCCTACCGAGCCTCTTTTATTACTGATCATGACTACTGCACCAAGGGCTTGGGGTCGATTCTCAATAAGAATTAATATCTCCAAAGATATTACATACCATTTGGTGATATTTTTGGTGAACCGCCCCGCCTGTTTCTGCCGTGAAGCAGTGATGCGTTTCGGTTTGAAGGGTGGGGCAGCCGTTATGACTATACTGAGACCTTAGAACTATATCTCAAGGTATGTGGCGCATTTACATTGTAGATGTCTATGGGCTCCAGTAACCACTTAACACCAGGTGGGCTGTGAGCTCGTCCATACATCTAAGCAATAAAAAATAAAAAAATAAAAAATTCATTCTTGATGTGTATGTATTATAAGTACTCAATAGACAGGACAAAATCTTAGCTCTTTAATAGCAGCTTTTTACGGCTACGAGAATGAAATTTGGTATCACATTAAACTACTAAAACAAAGGTTGCTCTTCAATCAATGAATCAATGTACGAATGCACCGTCATTCGCAGGCGACAGTTCAAAGAATTTATCGCTCAGAACATTGCAACACTACGGGCTTGCAAGTAAATTACGTGTTACTATGTTTACTACAGTTACTACTTACATCCTCATGTGGAGGATTAGCGGGTAATTTTAGTTACCTAGTTTCAGCAGTGGGCAGTAGCTTGGCTCTGCCTCTGGATGATATTCACAAGCGACGATGACTGCTCACAATTAGATGACTCATATGTTCATCTGTCTACAACGGCAATGATAAAAAAAAACTACTCTTAATTAAGTCTCTGACTTGGCTTAAAGACTTTATTTACCAGATCATTAAATATTTAAAAAAAATATCTAACATTAATGACTACCAATTGCAGATTTTTTGTTTTTTTCATTAAAGGAAATCCTTTGCTATCCTATCATTTAATTCTATTCTTCCATCAAAAACATTCACTTTATATTATATTGTCAAATAATAGAGACCTCACTTTGTTAGGCGGCTCCAAACTCATTACGAGATTTGCTCGTTCTATATCATTAAGGTGCATCTGATTAAGCAAAGCAGAAACCTCTCTGCTTGCCAAAACCACTTAAGCAGACTATGGCCGAACAACGTATACATTATATTAAAGTTTGGCAATCATCTCTAACTAGATGACTGTTTTTGCTAACTCTCGAGTTTCCCACCTTTCGACTTTCGCCGTAACGAAATCATTTGAAAAAACAAAGCGTGGACACTGCCTATTTATATTCGCCTTAAAATTGTTCAAAAATAACAACTATAACAGTATAATTAAAAATAAAAGTCGTTGGCTATCATCAATGATCAACATTTATTGGATCGGTGCGTCTCTCAGAAAAACCACGTAGGTCTCATTTTCATTTTGTTAGCGTTGGTAAATTTTGTCCGAGAAACATCAACCCCACAGCGACTCAGTCACGTAGCCGCAAAGAGACCGCGCTGCTTTCCTTTGCTCCTCAGAGATGTCTTTCGACGATTTACCTGAAAACAATAGAAAAAGGCGTTAATTTACTGCTTTGGACAACGGCCAAACATTTGAGCGATCTAAGTTGGTCCTGTCGCAAAATGAATGAAACAAGTCGACATTTTGTAGCTAGCTGTTCCCGATCGGTTATAAGGTCGAGCTGAGAGATGGGCTTAGGTGGGAACAGACAATATAAAGCTCATTTATATCCCGTCATCGTGACGCGTAAGGCGTGCCAAGGCGTTTTCCAATATGCTCATTTATCACACGCCCCTAGACATAATGAGACGCATCTTGACGCACACCGAAAATACTTTAAATTTATTTTTATTAAAATACCCATTAATTTTCCTTAATAGAATTTGGCAATGGAAATGGCAAAGTAATTGGTCGGTATTTTAGGTTTTTAATATGTTTATTTTGATTAGCATAAGGTATTTTATTGACAAGTCGGTTAACCATAAATAATGCCTTTATAGTTTTAAAACAGGAAAGATTATTGAAATATTTTAGAAATATCAGTAGAACAGATTCGACTGAAACTCTGCTTATGACTTTAAAAACGAAAACCTCAGAAAAAATACGTTAAAATAATCTTAATATGATAAATATGTACTTTATATCATTTTCAGAATTGCCTACCAAACAAAACTGCTCATGCTAATTATCGCTTAAGAATTTTTGTGCTATTTTTACAACTAAGAGAAAAAATCATATAGTATGCTTTATTATTATTATTATTATTAAATTCTTTATTTCAGATAATGATTCATATAAATGTTAGTAACAGCTATTTCTTAAAAATAAGTTAGTAAGGACACAGTAATAAAAGAAAACAACAACATACATACTACATACGATTGCAATAGCGGCATTACGAGAAAATTTTGTGGACCTCTCTGCAATGATTCAGAAAAGGTCCACCTAATCTAAAGAATATGCTTATACTTGCACACCAAATTAAAACAAACACAAATGCATAGCTTTGATTCCAAATTGATATTTTACAATTTAATTTTTACAATCGTTAGACTAGTTATTTTACAATCGTATAGACAGACTGGTGAATGATCTCCTGGCCCACTAAGTGTTAAGTAGTTACCGGATTCCATAGACATCGACGACGTTAATTCCGTCACCCATCTTAAAATATGAGTTCTAAGGTCTCAGTCAAACCGAAACGCATCACTGTTTCACGGCGGACAAAGTCAGTAGACGGTCGGCTTCGGTAATCATACAGCACCAGATGGGCCGAGAGCCCGTTAATCTGTCTAGGCAATAAAAAAATTAATTCGTGAGCATAATGTTGCTTTTCTTGAAATTGGACTACGGAACCCAAAAACGAAAAATTTATAGTTTATCACTAAAATCGCAAACGTAAATTTAAACTAGAGATAAATCAGATGTCACAATAAAACACAGTGACAATGAACATTATTATTTTTACACTAGGAGTAGGTACTGTGCCAATTTATTGCAGTGAAAAACGATGTTTTGAAAAGTACCCAACAAGTTCGTGCAATATTTGAAATTTTGAAATATTTTACCGCGGTTTAATAAATTACATCATTACATTAGCTACGACAACGTCACATGGACTTTGATTATTTCAAGAACTCGTTATCTTTCATTTTGTCTTATAAATCTAATGAATAATTTTCGGACGTCATTTTTAAAGCCGCCAAGGAAAGTGAACTATAATGTGATTTATTCCTTGAATAATGTTTAAGATTCAGTGTTTGAAAACGGTTGAATTTTTTGTTTACAATCTTTTAATGTACACTTTTCCACAACTAAAAGATATAATCTATAAATATCAACCTCGTTAGCACCGTCGAATAGAATTGTACTAATATAAAATTTAGCTACTTATTCGTAAGATTCTAAAATGAAACGGCATGTTTTTTTCCACGTATCTCTTAAAATAAATGGTCGGTCTATACAAATACATTCTAGAAATATACTAATCAGTTTTAGATGTTGGAAAATTACGGGATTTCGACGTTCGAGTCACATGACGGTCCAAGACTAGACAAACGCCCGATGACGCATGCGTCCGGAAAAATAAATTTAAATAAACCATCGCTATGTTCGAGAATTCATTTCAAAGGACAGCTGGTATTTTAAATATTGGACGTTCATCATTTCATCACAGACTACAGCAAACACGCGAGCGTCGAATATTAATGCGTGTAGATTATAAACGCCATTATACTAAAACCCTAAAGGAATTTTATAGCTTTATTTTTTCAAAAATTAATAATTAATTATTTTCATTCGAGTTTCAGTCCCACTACAGGAAACTGCAACTCAAAAATTTTAGGATTTCATAGATTTAGATTTTTACTGGTGGTAGGACGTGTTGTGAACCTGCATAGATAGATACCACTCTACCTATTTCTGTCGTGAAGCAGTAATGCGTTTCGCCTTGAAGGCCGCGGGAACCGTTGCCCTATAAAACTGAGATTTAGAACTCATGTCTCAAGGTGAGTGGCGATATTTACGTTGTTGATATCTATGTGCTCCTGTTACCACTAGATGGGCGGTGAGCTCGTCTACCTCTCTAAGCAACTAAAGAATTATAGTTAACTATACTAAGAGTTATATAGTTTTATACAGGATACGTTACATTTTTTTTTATTGCTTAGATGGATGGACGAGCTCACAGCCCACCTGGTGTTAATTGGTTACTGGAGCCCATAGACATCTACAACGTAAATGCGCCACCCACCTCGAGATATAAGTTCTAAGGTCTCAGTATAGTTACAACGGCTACCCCACCCTTCGAACCGAAACGCATTACTGCTTCACGGCGGAAATAGGCGGGGTGGTGGTACCTACCCGTGCGGACTCACAAGAGGTCCTACCACCAGTNAGCCCACCTGGTGTTAATTGGTTACTGGAGCCCATAGACATCTACAACGTAAATGCGCCACCCACCTCGAGATATAAGTTCTAAGGTCTCAGTATAGTTACAACGGCTACCCCACCCTTCGAACCGAAACGCATTACTGCTTCACGGCGGAAATAGGCGGGGTGGTGGTACCTACCCGTGCGGACTCACAAGAGGTCCTACCACCAGTGAATTACATTACAGTACATTAAATAAATTAATACGTTATGTGAACGAGGCCATGACACGCCTGTTGTAAAATCATTTTTTGAGCTCATATCATATCGTGAATCCCGCTACCCACTTCAAGACATGAAGACGAAGTCTCAATTGTATCATCTAACGGTTGTCTCAAGCCGGAACGTATGACTGGTTTGCGACAGAAATAGGTAATATTTCTATACCCACACCTGCGAGCTCAAGCCCTGCCACTAACAGATGCTAGCTGCCGACCACAGTATTCCAGTATACTCAAAAATACCCTAAGTCACATTTCAAGACATTTACGAAAAGAGGTGAAAGAGAGGCGGTGCAATTTCTAGCCTATAAGCACATATTTTATATTGAACTTCTATTGAACAGTTTAGAAGATGTCATTAATAGTAATTTCAATTACGGAAAAAATCGTATTAATATTGTAAATAAGAATTCTAATTTAGACGTTTTAATGTAGAATCTATTCATAATGACTTTGAAACGAACTTATCCGCAAATTATTTCGATTTATTAAAATACAATATTTTTACTCTTTACTCGTTGAATTAATTTTAAGTGAAATAGATGTTTTTCCTAATTGTCTCACAACTTACAGGAAAAATTTGTCGAGGATCATTTCACCTACACGTCAAGGAGAAGCTGAAATAGTCTCTCAAGGCTATCAGCATAGGTAGGAGAACGTAATGTAAGAATAAGCCGGTTAATTAATTACAAAGACTAATATTTTACCTTTGTGAATAATTGGCATAAACGTTTCAATCAGTGCAATGAAACGAGTTAGTAAATAGCGACAGTCACGAGGTCTTCAATGACGCCGATCGGCGCGGGCGCGGTCTCTGCGTGCGTGACGCGACGTGACGCAAAAATGACGCCGGCGACGCATTGGATTCATCGTGGAATATTTCTGTACAATCTTAATTTTCTTTATCAAAACTTGCGCATGTAATATTGTATCTTAACGCCGACATTCTCGTAGTAACAGTTTGCACTTTAATTTTGTTCTTATTATCGGATTAGATCGTGGCCTAAAGGATAAAACGTCCAGTGCATTCGTATCTAGCGATTCAACGGTGATCGAATCCCGCTGGCAGGTACAAATTTTTCTAATGAAATACGTACTTGAAAAATGTTCACGATTGACTTCCACGGTGAAGGAATAACAACATCCTATAATAAAAATCAAACCCGCAAAATTATAATTTGCGTAATTACTGGTGATAGGACCTCTTGTGAGTCAGCACGGGTAGGTACCGCCACCCCGCCTATTTCTGCTGTGAAGCAGTAATGCGTTTCGGTTTGAAAGGCAGGGCAGCCGTTGTAGCTATGCTGAGATCTTGGAGCTTATATCTCAAGGCGGGTGGCGCATTTACGTTGTAGATGTCTTAGGGTTCCATTAATCACTTAACACCAGGTGGGCTGTGAACTCGTCCACCCATCTAAGCAATAAACAAAAAAAAAAGATTCAGTAGCTTATCCTAAATTTTATTGTGGATAAAATGTTATAGACAAAAATTATCAAAATTTTTGATCATACACTGATTTGATACGTATTTTAAGCATCGTTATTTAATAAGTTTAATGCTTAAGATTAATGTAGAATATATGTAGAGTTTTTAAATTATTCTTAGAATTTTAATGAGGTTTCAATTGCATCATTGTTATTACGTAAATGTGTATTATTTTAAACGCTTCGTGCATCACCCCTGCTAGTATTACAGGGATGTGTTATTTAAAAAGACACATAAGTAGTTTTATTTGTTTAACATAAAAATCATCACTAAAAACGATCAAGCTTCAAACGTATCAGCAATTAATAAAATCCAATTTAATAAACCGAATGCAAACAAGCGATATCGAACAATAAACGCGAATACTCTTTCAAAGTAAACGAACCAAAACGCCAAAAAC